GATTTATAAACTTCTGGCTAATCCCAAGGACAAATGCAGCAAAGCCAGGAGACCAGGAGTTTACACAATCCCACGAGAGGACACCACATCCAATCCAAGCAAAAAACTAACATACATTGGCTCAACCAATAGATCACTTAAAAGAAGGATAGCTGAACACAAATATGACACATACAACAAAAAGTTCACTTCCACCCTAGCCCAATTTGCAAGCGAACCAAATATAATGACCAAATGGGAAGAGGTGAAGATTATTATTCCTACGCTTGATAATAGCAAACTTAGAACAGTTGAAACCATTGAAATATTTGCGCAATCCCTCAAAGAGAGTTGTATCAACAGCAGAGATGCAGACTCGCTCTCCTTTGCATGGAAATCACTCTTCGATAACCCCTTAAACTAAATAGACTAATCCACCCTCACCGAACCTTTTGCAACCCTTAGCGCTTTTTTTTGTTTTTACTTATCACGTTTATTTTCCAATTCTGCTTTCCGAGCGTAGCACTTATAACCCATCTATAGTCATTCGCACACCTTTTCTTATTGTATCAAAGGTTAATTGACGACGTCAACATTGTCTATACTTCGGTATCAACTATGACATCACTCCCCGGTAACCCCCTATCTAAGCAGGCCAATCTACACTCAGCAAGCTCTAGTGCATCTTCTTTACTTAGTGTGTGTATTTTCCAATTTTATTTTCTCCAACTTTAGCAATTATCCCATCAATAGTCATCCACACACCTTAAATTTTATATCAAAAGAAAATTTAATGCCCTCAGTATCGTCTAAACCTTATCAACAACAATGACGTCACTGGTAAGACAAAACTTATGTAAACAGTGACACCGTTTGGATATCTACCAACCAACGTTCCAACAGACCACAGTGTACCTGAGTAAGGCCTTTTAAAAAGGCCAAAAACGTTTGTACCCAGTCTTTAAACAGCTAGAAACAAAGTGAGAAAGGTTTTGTCTTAGTCATTTTAAATAGTTCTAGCTCCAAATGCATAGAAGAAATAACAAAAGATCATATAGTAAGATTGTAATATAAATTCAAATAAACCTTTATTAATGATAAAAATTAGCATAATTATAGAACAACAAATATTACTGGAGTTGTATTAGTAATAATAAGAACTGAGTTTATATTTTAGTAATTGTAGTAAGATTTTTCTGAGAGTTTTAGGCCATGAGGAGGTGACAAGAAGACAAGAAGAAAACAGAAAAAAAAGAGAAAAAGGATGAAAAAAGTAATAAAGAAGTAGAAAGAACCACTACAGTAATTACTCATAATTAGTAAATAAAAACTGAGCTAATTCGAAGAGGATGTTAATGTTTTTCTCAGAAATCACTCTTTATATATAGTTACAGTTAGTCAATGCTTCTACATTATTCTTTCCTGAATGGCTGCATGTTTGCAACCATTTGTTTACATAGGGGGTGGCCAATCATCTGGTAATTTCTTTTTATACATTTTTTACAACTGTTTTCTACCTGTTTGCTCATAAAACACTTTATAATTTGTTTTATTACTTGTATCATTATTATAAATTACCAAACAATCGCCTAAATATCGGGCTATAATTAAATGATTGGAATAAAGTAATTTGACATTAGAGGTAGGCGTTAGGCGCCATCTCTTAAGTAAATTAAAATTTTAGGTGATCGTTTGGTAATAATATGTAAAATAATAGTAATAATGTAAAATAAAATAAATAATAATGATACAATATAAATAACAACTCAAAGCCTGAATAGTATATAATAAATATACTATTCGGGCTTTGAGTTGTTGTTATTTATATTGTATCATTATTATTTATTTTTCTATTTATGTATCCTTTTGTACTAATTTGTCATTTGGTCTCCTATTTAATTTTCTAATTGCCATCTGCTGCATTTGTAAAAAGGATGTTCTTTTAAATTTAAAAGTTTTGGTTTTATTCCATTCTCAACGTTGCTGAATAAGTTTGCAATGACATATGTCAAAGTACTCAAGGCCTGATTAAATCTGTTCATTTGCATGTTTCTGTGATTTTTAACATCCATTTCAAATTATTGCAATTCTTGTATGGAACAAACATACAAATATATACAATTTCAAATAATTTCATTTAAAACAAATTTTTTATTTAAAATATTAATACCTGCAACTCCTTCTTGGTCGACTCCCAATAAAAAGCCAATGATGATAATGATGCAACATATAACTGCTTTTGCAGAAGTTTTTTGGTTCAATAATAAATATGTCAAAATCTAAACATAAATCAATTAGAAAATATTTTATAATTAATATTTTTATCTTATTACTTAATAAAGAAACTATCTTTGTAATGCAAATAGAGTTTGAAATAAAAAATATTAAACTATACATAAAAGTATATAAATATTTAATAAGAATAAATGTGAATAAATACTGCCATTCACAACTTTAAATAAATTAATTAAGCAACTATCATATATAAACATTTAAAGATAACAGAATGGCATTGTCTTTCCAATAAAATTAATAATCAACATTTTCTCAATTTTCCGAAACCGTGTTTTATAATTTTCTATGATTCACAAACACAAGACTGTGCTACTATTTAAACACTTGGCGTTTTTTCATCTTTATTCTGTTGATACAAGTATTACTACATGTTTCAGGCACTGTCCCAAAACATGTAGTTAGTCGTAGACTTTTTAAGTCTGCAATGTGTTACTACGCATTGCAGACTTAAAATACAACACATTAAATTCAGTTTTCCACGATCATTGTTTATTGAATAATTTTAATATTGATAAGTCTAATGTTGAAATTTTACATAAAGAAAAAAACACATATAACAGGAAATTTAAAGAAAGTTTCGAGATCCTAAAAGCCAACAATTGTATTAATAAAACTTGAGTTTAAAAATAAATGAAAATTGGTTAAATGTCTTATAAAATAATTTCAAAAAATATTTTATCTAGTTTGGCTATGATTGTATTATCGAAAATAGTTATTGTAAAATAAGTTACCATATTTTGAAAAAATATGCAAATTTGTATTAGACTGCATTGCAACGGGAAAAAAACTGTAAAGAGGAAGCAGTTTTATCTCTGTGTTGTATTGATGTGTGATTTGTAAAGTAGAACTTAACTAAGTCTACTAGTTGGTTTTTCTTTTATTTGTAAATATAAAAAACATAAAATATATAACGTCTATGTAAAAGCAAGATTCAATGTTGGAATTGGTTATCAAAATTTAAAACTTGCTCCTTGGGTAATGTCCTTTTTTGAATTTTTTTATACTTTTTATATTTTTTATGTACTTATGTATTGGTTATTTGTTTTTAAAACCAGATGTATGTAAATTTCGTGTTGGTGAAGCCTATTTTTGATTTCATAGTTGGAAAAGTATATTCTGAGTCTCACTAGTAAATGTAGTATAATTGTAAAACTTAAGGTAGGTTGTATTTTGTAAATTTCCTATAAATATAAAGAAAATGATGTTAGCCTACATTATAAATTTGAAAAAAGTGTGAAAATTTATCTAGGCAGATGTACAAAACTGCATTACTCTAAAACTTGAAAGGTGTATACATGTATAAAAGAATCTAATGGTATGTCTCGTGAATGAATTTATACATTTATATATTTTTGTAAAATAGCCTTTCTGCATAATGTTGTTTTTGTTAAAAAAATTTATGTATACTTTTTTAATGTTTAGTTGACTGATGGAGGGCAGAGCCCGAAACATGTAGTAATACTCGTATCAACTGAATAAAGATGAAAAAGCACCAAGTATTTAAATAGTAGCACAGTCTTGTGTTTGTGAATCATCATAATCAACATTTATTATTTTCACTTACTGGTACACCACTGATTTACTGGCATGTCTTTTATCTGTTACATGAATTGCCTTCTAATTCATGTAACAGAATTAGGATTAGAATTTCAACAGAATTAGAAGAAAATTCCTGTAACTGTTAGATGTTTTAACTGAATGGCTGCAGATGCCATTGTATGGACATGGATATACATTCACTTGGATTTTCTACATTGTAGTTATTGGTAATCCCTCTATTCTGTACAATTTTAGCTCATTTTTACTTATATTTAACCCTAGCTTTGAATTCTATTAAAAATGCAACTGTTAAGTAAAAATAAGTTTACATGGCCAACGATTATTTAATAATATACTAAAAATAAATACAACTTTTACGAAGAAAAATTCTTTGTTTCAGTCATTTTTTCGTTGTTCACACCATCAGCAGTTCATTAAAAAACACAAATACTCACGGAGATGACCTTCCTTTTTAGGCTACTGCCTCCATATTAAACAATGCAAGTGTTGTTGGTATTAAACATAAATTAAGCATATGTTAAATGTGGACTGTTATTTAATTAATTTAAGTTTCTAGCAGTCCACAATACATATAATTAATTGGATTCTGACATGTTAGTATATATAATTAGTGTTGATAACTCAATACTAATTATTATATGTACTAACAGAAAAATCAAGATCAACCTACATTATTTTAATTATTAAGAAAATGGTTTTCAAATTATGTACTTAAACAAAAGGAGATAAAACTGAGTAAGTATTCAAGGAAAATTCAACATTTTTTAAGTCCAAAAAATTTTGACGCATATTAATGTTTTTTGTCATTTTAAACAACATTCTTCAGGAAGTAACAATATAGTTAGTAATGAAAAGAATAGAATAGAATGTTACAAAACTTTAGAAAATTAACAAGTATAGAATATGGAAAATAAAATTTAAGAATAATTGAATGTTGTAGTAAAGAACAAACTACAACAACTTAAATTCTATTAAAGTATAACATAAGTAAATAAACATAATATTGGCCCAATAGAATACTGATTCCCTTTTGTGTCACCATATCTCACATAGTGACTTCCAAGCAGAAAAAATTTTCCTCAAATTATGCATTTTTTGAAATACAGTTGATGCTCAATTTTACAAGAAAAATTTGTCTTATAGAAAAAATTTAAAAGTTTTGCATTCATGAATAGAGCATGCTAAAAGGTTGAATAAACGAGTTGGTCAGTATAAATTACTCAATGTACAGTACATTATATTATTTTATTCATACTTATACATCATCTTGCACATTTTAAGTTTGTTACTAAAATATTAATATACAGTGTGTTTTTTAAAAACACATTTGATTTAACAGACTTTTGGCAATAGTGAATACCCCTTTCCCCAATTAGTTTTTTAAATCAAGGGTCTACTGTATATTATTTTAAAATAGTGCATCACATTTGTTGACTGTTGCACATATTGCTATCAAGTGCATCAATGACTATTTCAGTAAAGTTAAAGTATTTATCTCTATATAAATAAATTTCTTTTACTACAGTATTTTTAAACCTTTAGAAATCAACCTCTAAAGGACCATTCTTTTGTAGTCAATATTTTTTCTAATGGCTTTCTAACAAAATTTAGACAAAACATACTTACTATTATTTTGTCTGACATTAAATTCTGTCTGGTATGTTTCCCAAAATTTTTTTGCACTTAAAATTAATTTTTACTCCTTTTTACAATTGATTTTCACCCTTTGGAGAACGATATCACCTTCATTGAGAAACACTGCTTTACTATAGAGAAAAGCTGCTTTCATAAGTACAGTAGGAATAATTTATTTACTGAAATATATTCTGTAAATCACAATAAATGTTTTATCAAAGTAAAAATAGAAAAAAAATGAAATGTTTTTGTATAATATACAGATGTTCCCCTATGTATGAAAGATTAGGTTCCAGAGATTTTGTCATAAGTGAAAACTAACCTAGAAAGTACATTCGTACACAGAATAATCATTGTTAGTGTTTGATCCTTCAATTCATTTAATAGAATGCACTACACTCATTTACCTTCTCACTACTGTTCAGTAACATGTGTTTGAAATGTGATTTATTTTCACCAAATGCACTTAGTTTTATAATGTTTACTTTAGTTTCTACAGTAACAGAGCAACACTTCTTGTATTTATCTCCACTTCTAGATTTACTATTACATTTCTGATGCATTTTTGAAGCACTAATTATAAAAGCTTATAAAAATTGCAAACAATAGGGCAAAAAATGCCATAACTTCTACTTGCTATCTCACAATTGGCAATAAAACCTCAGAATTTGTGCAAAAACAAAAAATGATGATACACAATAGAAATAAGTCGACTTTAATTATTTATTAAATACTGTACTTGTTATTTTTATTGACCAAAGACTGACTTCAACACCATCTCACAAGTGGCAAGAGAACTTCAGAATCCATGCAAAATTTAAATTTTAGATGTACAGTCATATTGTTCATAAGTTTAATGTTTGTAAGTAGGGAGTTCCTGTATACTCATCATCAGAGACTGAAGAATTCATTGATTTTTGAAAAAAACAGAAGAAAAAAGCCTAAAATTGTTTGAGCCTTTTTCTTCTATTTTTGCTCCAATAAAGAATTTTTATTGTTATTTTTCAATATTTTTGACATATTAACCTTATATTTTCTTTAGTTTGAGTAAATTAGATATTGAAATTTTTTACTTTTACTGAAATTCAATAAAATTCAACTTACCACGTTAAAAACTGTAGTTAAAGATCTTCCAACATAATAAAATGCAACTCCAACGTATTTTAGACAGATATTGTTGAATGTTATCATAATAACAAATATCACAGACATTGGAAGTATCTATATTCATAAATTTTAAATTAATTATCATTTAAGATAATTTATGTAGTATTAAAGATGTCTTTGTTATTAAAAATATAATTCATTTATTTAATTTTAAATATAGAAAATTAAGCTCTAAAATTACTAAAGTTTTATTAATGTAATATATAAAATTTTAAAATTTTAACTGAAATCTCATCATGGCCCAATGTTGGTCTTCAGAGCACAGTTTGAGCAGCACTGGCATATATTACAATAGTAAATTTATAGCAATTATGAAAGCAGTCATAAAGCAAGCATCGAGTATATTTATATATATACTTTTTAATGTACCGATACATCAAAAAACAAAACACTTGATATATTATATAATATTAATTCTATATAAAAGAGTTGATTATTTAATTCATAAAATACTGCTATGTTTTTCCTTATTGTCATCATCTACATCTGAGGATTTGTCATACTTGAAATAATATACTTTTCCTTTACACATCCCTGCCACTGCCATGTATCATATGCTTTCTGTAATTCATTTTTCGACAGCTGTAATCAAATACAAAACACTTGTCTTCCAAGCTTTCTTTAGTAGCAGAAACAGAAATAAATCAAACAAGGCTAATTCCAGTAAATTTGTGAGATGCAGCATGATCTCAGTTTCAACTTAATATTGGATGTACAGTACATTATTGGAAATATGTATTGACCTAGCATTATCAGAATTGAGAAACCATTCTACATTAGCAAGTTCTGGATGTTTTTCGCAAAATGGCATGACAAAGTTTAATTCTGAGAATCCCTGCACATTTCCTTATTCAGAGTTATTTCTCAAAATAATAACTGTATTCATACATTACATGTTTCAAGGAACTGTAGTGTTATGCTACTATGTGTTATGTATCGTTTTTCTATAAGTTTCTGTTATTCTAGCATGTAAACAGTTCCGTTAATTTTGTATCGGATCCGAATTTTTGTATGTTAATTCGCGTTGCTTTCTGTTCATTTTCTGATATCACCTTTTTCTCTGCTGCACTGATCTGAACCTGCTGATTGGTTCAAGGAGTGATTACATACTAAAACAACATTCCTGGATAGCGGGAAGTATAAATTCAAATACTTCACGTGTTCTGGATCTTTTTCCTGACTCCCAAGTTTACGACTGGACATTAGAGAGAGAGAGTGAGTGCAAAGGACTTTGGAGATAGCAGTGGAACAAAGGAAATACATTTTTTTACTGATGATAAGTAATCCAAATCCATCTCGAAGAAGAGAAGATATACGAATACAGAATGTGTTGATTATGTCCAAGAATTGCTTAAGGACTTGAGTAAGAATATTATTTTATAATTATAGACTTCATAGTAATGTGGGAGATCAAGTTCTGGTAAATATACTGCCGTGTATTAAATAGGGCACTAGTATATGAAATTAACTAAGAAGAAACATGAGAGCACGTTTATGTTTCATCTTGTTTGTAATTGTTGAAATGCGAATTCACCCTATTATTAATCTTTCTCTTTGTTATGGAATCATATTGATTGTTTGTGATAAGGCCTATATATATATGCTAAAGATACCACCTGTAGTATAGCACCATGTGTAGATGTTAATAAACCTGGCTTTGTTTTATTTTGTCTGAAATTTGTGAAGTCCTCATCACATCACTCCTTCATACAGACTCAGCATATCCTGGTATGCCTGAGATACTACAGAACACAAAATAAACAAGAGCTATGTTTCTCTATATGGTTCTTGCTTAAAAATAATTGTCAAAGGCAGATTATTAATAAAAAATATAAAGACAATATTGAGTCCAACAGGAGCTGGTTAATACTAGAGATAAAACAATATTGGATTCAGCTGATATGATCCAATACAGATAATTTTCCAACCAAGTCAATTTGATATCTGTTTTTTTTATCCATATTGTATAGGTGGTGAAAATAAATGAAAGTATGAAAGCTCATTGGTTTAGAGAATATTCACTTTGCTTGCTAACCTTTAAACTCAAATATAAAGAAATGAAAGTTTATAAATTGATTTACAAGCTCCTTTCAGATCAAAGGTAATTGTAATTTTCTAGTATCCATAGGTGTGATCCTGGCCCTGTTTTAGGAAAAAAATTCAAACACACCTTGAATAAATTTATAATAGTATAAAAAAATCATCAAATTGAAAAAAATTGTCACTAAATTGCCAACCACCTTGAAATATCACCAGACCAATGTACAACACTACTCAATGTTTACTGCCTATTTCTAAGAATGTATCTGGTCTGTGAATTTTTTTACACAGGCAGAATAGCCAAAAGCACTGTCAGTTCACTCTGTAATTGGTCAAAACCTGTCACAACTGAAGTACTTGAAATAAAATTTATGTGCTAACCATTTTTGTTATGGTGTTTGGATCTATACTTTTAACAAAAACCTTTATTAATTATGTCATGAAGTTTACACAAAATTTTATTTCGTCATTATTTTATTTTATTTTACCAAATGCAAATCATTTTCTAGAAAAAATGATTTGCATTTGGTAGCTACACAAAGCAGAACCAGAATAAACTAAAGAAAACTTATCTAAATGCACTTTATTTTGCAGTGTACAAGGTATGTTCAAAAAATACACGGACTGACGTCATAAAACAAAATGTACTTTATGTAGAAGTTACACGTCTGGGTCTCCTTCAAAGTACTCTCCTTCCCAATGCACACACTTATCCCTACGGTTTTTCCACTTGTCGAAACAGCCCTGGTATGCTTCTTTTGTAATGTCCTTCAGAGCCTTCATCGCATTTGCCTTAATCTTGGGAATTGTCTCAAATCTTTCTTTCAAGGGTCTTTTGAATTTGCGGAACAAGAAAAAGTCACAAGGAGCAAGGTCAGGTGAGTGGGGTGGGGAAGAACAGTGATCGAGTGTTAGCCAAAAACTCACAAGTTCTGAGAGCTGAATGGGCTGAAGCATTGTCATGATGGAGAAACCAGTCACCACTCCTCCACATTTCTGGCCTTTTGCAATGGATGGCATCCCTCAGACGTTTCAGAACTTCGATGTAGTAAGTCTGGCTCACTGTGGAGCCTTGGGGGAGGTACTCGTGGTGAACAACACCCTTAGCATCAAAGAAAACTGTCAGCATCACATTGACATTGGATCGAACTTGGTGAGCTTTTTTGGATCTGGGGAACGTTTCACCTACCCACTGGGACGATTGGACCTTTGTTTCAATGTCATAACCATAAACCTATGATTCGTCACCTGCTTAACAGCAAGTCGTTGCTCCATCAGGTCATTCATTCTGAAATCCGACAAACAAAAAAATCGCACTTCACTAAAAACCGCATAGCTAATCAACAAATAAAGATATCTGTAATTGGGAAACGGCTTTATTACCAGACAATCTGTACAAACCTAGCAACACCAAGCTGATTCCCCTGGAACCAACTGGTGCCGTGCAATTCAAATAGTCCACGTATTTTTTGAACAGACCTCATGTAGTGACATATATATATATTAGTGTATAGTATATATATATATATATGTGTTTGTCACCAGTGCCAATCAAAGGGGGATACAGTAGTTGCAGCTTCCCCAGGCCTCACAATATTAAGGGCCTCAACTTGGCAATCAATATGTTAGACAAACATATAAGAGAAGGTAAATCAATATGCTAAATTTTAATACAGTAGAGCCTCGAAAACTTGGCACTCGATAACCCGGCACTCCGGATAACTCGGCCACACCCTGGCAGGGCAAAAATACCCTTAGATAATTAATTTTCATCATAGACAGCTTTATGTCTCATTAAGTATTTTTCCGAGGTCTGTCNTGTAAAGTTGATTGCAACGAATTGTGCAACAAATGAACTTGCCAAGACAGACTATAAAAAATTAATTTTCTATGTAATATTCTTAATTGCAAAGAAGCCAAATCTGGCAATGTTGCTCAGAACTGACTAAAGCGCCACTTGTAATCGTCCAATGTGCCAAGTTTGGCGCATGCGCCACGGTTTGGCCACCCCTATTTTAGTGTCTTCCTCTTTTATTAAAAATGTATCTGAACTGAAATTAACTGAAAATTTTGATTTCAATTTAAATAAATATTGCATGTAATTCTCAAATAGCTATTGTTTTCTTTTTATTCCCTAACTCTATTATAAAGGTTTTTATTAACTCTATTATAAAGGTTCAAGAGTCTCCTTTAATAGCTCTCTAGTGGCAGCACTATCTTTCCCTATAACCCTTTCTCTTTTAATCTTTCCTCAGCAATTCCCACAACCATAACATTGGTGGCATCGGCTAGGGATATTCAATTTTAAACCCCCCTTTCTTTAATTTTTTTCCCTCATTCCCATGTGAACAATATTGGTGGCAGTGGTGGGATTTCTCTACCCCCTCTTCCATCTCTTGCATCGGTAACAGCAGAACAAAGTTTAAAACTAACCACAAAACAGAAATTAGGATGAGTAGAAAAAATTCAATTTGAAGGGCCTCTAAAATATTAGTTGTCCCAGACCTCACATTTTCTCTGAAAGGCCCTGTATGCACTATACACTGAAATCCTGTTATAAACAATGGTGCATCCAAATGTAGAGCCTCGAAAACTTGGCACTCGATAACCCGGCACTCCGGATAACTCGGCCACACCCTGGCAGGGCAAAAATACCCTTAGATAATTAATTTTCATCATAGACAGCTTTATGTCTCATTAAGTATTTTTCCGAGGTCTGTCTTATCAGGTAAATTACTGAACACAGTGTATTCATTAATTTTCATTTTCATGTAGTAAAGGCTCTATGCCTTCATAAAGTACGTACTTTTCCTTTGTTTAAGGGTATTTGGGCAGTTTATTCTCTGTTGTATTCTCAAGCAAATAATACGTACAAGTACAGTATAGTATTTTCTGAGGAAACATGCATACTTATCCTTTTTTAACCCGATTCCCGATAACCCAGCATTTTCACAAACTCGGCCACCCTTCGGTCCACATTAGGCTGAGTTTTCAAGGCTCTACTGTATTTATAAAATTAAACTCTAAATTTCTGTAGGAAGAGTCAGAGAGGATTGAGAGATATAAGCCAGTCCTTGATTGGCTAGAAGTACAGGGTGTTCATAAAGTCCATGTGCAATTTAAAAAATTTATAACTTTATTAGTATTTGTGATAGAAAAAAATCTGTATTAGAAAGCTTAATGTACCTAGTTTTAAGTAAAATTAGGATTTGAAGTGGTGGACCATTTTCTTGGCCTCCATTTGATTTTTTTTATGGGGACATCTGAAGACCTCATTATATGCAACCAAATCAAGTGTATGCAACCAAACCTCAATCGTTAGAAGACTTGAAAGTTAAAATAACTAATATGATTTCAGGCATTACTGTAAATCAATTGGCAAATGTTTTTAGAGAACTACAAAATCGTATTATCCTTTGTATTACTAATGATGGTGGTCATGTGGAAACTTAATAAAATACAATAAAACAATAAAAAAAATATAGATTTTCTTATTCCCAATACATTCTACATAATTTCTCTATCACAAATACTAATAAAGTTATAAATTTTTTAAATTGCACACGGACTTTATGGACATCCTGTATATCACCGTGATCAACCCCAGGCTGGAGGGGATGTTCTTCTGGCCAATCACTATACACACCCACACTCAAAACTTACCCCTTCCTCCATCTCTGAATCCCATCCCCAACAAAAAGGACATAAAAGCAAAGAACAAGGTCTGTTCAGTCAGGTCTGTGCTAACAGTGTTTTATGATACTAACAGTGCTAGAGTGAATCTACACTACCCAAGTGCTATCTGGATCTGATCTGCTTGCTCATTTCTGAGACTCTTAACTAACTGCTCCCAGAGTCCCATTTTTGGCCCTGTAAGTAAAAACTCTTATTTCTTCTCTCTCTCTCCCCACATTCTTATTACTATTACTGTAGTTACTAAAATTGAAATTGTTTTAGTGCAGGGGTGGCCAACCTTTTGCATACCATGCGCCAATTTTTTGATAGACGAGTTCAGATGTGCAGTGGCGTACCGTGGGTGTTAGCCGCCCGGGGCGGAGAAAAATTTCGGCCACCCTTTAATCAGGTATTTCAATTTAAAAGATCAAAATTCAGTTGTGTGAAANATATATATATATATATATCATCCAATAATATAATATTCATATAATAATTGGAATTTTGGAATATAAAATTGGATTTTATATATATAGGGTGGGCCAACGAAAACGAAACGGCAGAGTTATCGTGTTTGTCCAAGCAAATCGCTCGGACAGGTCGATTTTATTCTCAAGGAGGACATCTTCTTCAATAAAGTTTTTGCAATTCTGAATACAACAGACAACAAAAAATTTTAAAAACTCATTCATTTTTTTCCGAAATAAATGTTTATTTAGCTAATAAAAAAATGAATGAGTTTTTAAAATTTTTTGTTTTCTGTTGTATTCAGAATTGCAAAAACTTTATTGAAGAAGATGTCCTCCTTGAGAATAAAATCGACCTGTCCGAGCGATTTGCTTGGACGAACACGATAACTCTGCCGTTTCGTTTTCGTTGGCCCACCCTGTATATATAAAATCAAATTTTTATTTGAAATATTTTAAGTGTGATAAGTACTTTTTAGTTTACTATGATTCTTATAAGATTTTACTATTGTAATTACAAATTATAGACAAAATTATATGTTAACTTTGACTAATGTTTATCACAAAATTTAAATACTTTATCATTATTCTTATAAAATATAAAATGTATCATAAAAATGTCAAAAGATGTGTCATGTGATCATTAAATCATTGTAATAATTCAAAGATCACATAAGACATCTTTTTAACAAAAATAAAGTTTTAAGAAATAGAATTCAATTTTTTATTAAGCATGAGAGGACTGGTACCACTGAAAATAACAGGCATGAAAAATTCTTGTAGAAGAGTTAAATAGCATTAATTTAATGTTTGTTTTATTTCCTTTAATCTTAATTATTTTTTTGTGTTTTAATTTTTTTTTTTGTTTTTAGTTTTCCTTTAGTTTGTATTAATTAATTAAAATATATTTTAAAATTTACTAGAATTGTCATGAGTTTTTGTGTTTAAAATGCTTAGAATTTAAATTTGAATTAATGAACTTAACTTATTCTTTAAATTTTTATGGAACTGAAGATGAGACATAAATTACATTGAAAATGTTTTATTACAATAAAAATTGTTTCCATAAAGTTTATTGCTGTTTTCTGTTTTTTGATTTATATATGAAGTTTGTAGAAAAGGATAATAGTTTAGATTTCTTTTAATGCTAAACTTATGTAATTATTCAAACACATACCCTCAGCAGTAATGTAAATCAAATACACCTTATCTTGCCAATGAAAATGTTTAATAATTACAAATGTTTTTTCAGCTTGCTCTAAAAGTCATCTTCAAATGTTAAATTATATTCTATCATTACAATATAACATTCTAATTGAATTTCAAATATAACAAATTTAAATATGAATAAAAGAACTCAAAATAATTTTAAAAAGATAAAAGTGTTGTATGTGATTTACTTATGTAATTAATTTTTAAATTCAAATGACTTAAATTTTACCTGATATAGCAATGTAAAATCCAGCTTAACTTCTGGAAAGGTAAATACATTTGGTGCTATTTTGGTCAAATAATTAAATAGTAAACATAGCAACACAGTCACTATACACTGAAATCCTGTTATAAATAATGGTGCATCCAACTGAAATTATTAATAAAAAAAGTATATAAATTATGCATATTTTAATAATAATTAATCCAATATATTAGAAAATATTTCAGACATTATTTCAAAATAATATTTCAGATATTATATTTCAAATTTTAATTTAAAAAGAAGAAAGCTGGAATTCAGCTTTCATTCTTCTTTATAAACTGAAATTTGTTTCTTTCTATCCTGAAGAAGGTTGTTTAAAACAACCAAAAATATTTGAAAATTAAAATTCTACTATATTTTGAAGGTTTCAGTAGTAGTACTGTGGTTCAAGACAAGTATAGTTTTCAGAGAAATGAAAACAAAGAAGACACTTGATGATGCTAATAATCTCAAAGCTTGAGTTGAACCAACCCTTTAAAAATTTTTACAATAGGAAAAAGACAGGATGAACAAAATGAAGAAGCCTCATGTTTTTTTCTGTTAACCCACTAAAAATTTTTTAAATGCATTTTCTTGTAAATTTTAAATGTAACTATCATCCAGACTATTTACTAGTTTTATTAATGTTACTAGGACATCACACAACTTTGTCATATTGCAATAGAATTGAGACAGAGCCAGAAAAAAAGAAGTGATCCTTATGCCTGTTAGACATAGAAGAGGCTTCCTTGTACCTGCCTACCATGGGAGACATGATCCTTGCACTTGCCGACAGAGACATGATTATTGTACTGTATTTGTGTTTTGTTCCTTTTTTCTTTGCACCTATTTTCCATTAGACACATGCAATTCTGTTTTTATTTTTGATCCCTAGGCCTAAATTCCATTAGGCATACTCAGTCATATCAGAGAGCACGGACATTGTCACTTTAATACATCTGTACATAGAAAACAAAGTCATGGATACCTAATTTTTTAATATTTAAATGGACCCTCACTACACTTGGATTCCTTATCACAATTAATGGAAAATAGCAAAGTTTTATCAAAATTGACCCATTAAATTTTGAGGATAAACTCAATTCTATAAGACCATAAAAAGCATGCTAGCAACCATAGAACACTGCAAAACAAAATCACATTATTCGTGCAATATCGTTTTGTTGTGCACACACTTGTGCTATAATCTTATATCTCAAAAACAAAGTCATTGACCCCTATTTTTTATTACATTTTTGGATTCCTCATTGCAATTAATGGAAAATGACAAATCAATTGAACAGATTTTGAGAACAAACACAATTCTGTAAGCCATATAGAAGAGGCTTTGCTAATGCTCTGCCTCAAATATATATACACTAGCAGATGAGCCTGGTATTGCTCGGGAAAAAAGTATCGATAGCGAAGATTAAGATTATTAGATTATAGCCGATCTTACCCATTTTATCAAGTGCAAGAATTATGTCTCCCCCTTCTGAGACTAATTGGAAAATTTTTAGCTCTCTGCTTACCACATCATGATAATGATAATTAAGACTCACTGCAACCACTAACCAGTGCATAGTACCACTAACTTGTAAGTGATGAATAAACATTTTCGTAACTCTTTTTGGGTTCTTCTTCAGGTTTACTAAGTTTGAAAAATAAGCTGGATCTTCCAGAATCATTCATAAATATAAATTCAAACATAAAATCAAAACATTAAGATGAAAAGTTTGAATAAAGCAAATTTATGCACATGCACTCTTTGTGTCAACTTTATATACGATGGAACACTAAATATCATTGAGAATTTTTAGAAGGGTCTAAAAATACATTCGATTTCCTACACAAGTGCAAAAAACCGCATCTAAAATAAGTATAATAGAAGCTGAGTTCTTCACAGTAAGCCTTAATCCTGTCCCTCTCCCTGTGGGGGAATTTCAAAAAATCCCTTCTTAGTGTACATTCTCATGACGTACCCTGTGTACCAAATTTCAATTTCAACTCCTAACCATTTGGGCTCTGGCTTATTATTATTATTATACAGTATTTAGTGGGTTATACTCGGTTGATACCGATAGCTGTGTACTATGCCGGACCAGAGTCAAAGCATAGCAACCAAAAACTAAAACCATTTTATTATAATTATTATCATTATTATCAACCCATCTCGAATATATTATAAGATTTGATTTTAGTCATCGCCAACAGAAAATTTTTTTACATGTTTTATTTATTGAAGTGGATATAGAGAGTATAGAAGGTTGACTCTGCCAAAAGACTGTTTGTTCTTGAGATATGAAAAGGATGTAAGGATGAAGGAAAATGAAGAAGACTTGCATTTTCATCTGTTAAATTATTGTAAAAAATTTTTAAGGAATTTTCTTGTAAATGTTATATGTAAATTTTTTCCAGTTTATTAATATTTTATAAAAATCAATAAATTTATTAATAGACAATTTAATAAATTTATACTTTTGTAAACAGATTACAGGATTTATTAATGAATAATAAACATTTAAAAAAAACTGTTTTTCCTCTTTTCAGTCATATAAAACTTGGTTTTATGGTTGCAAATTAATAACAAGATTTAACTTTGTTTTCAGTAATAAAGTAGCTTTATTCACTAATTGTAAGTTTGCTGTTTGGAACTAATCATATGAGGACTAAGGTGGTTACTGTTTCAGAAGCATTTTGTTACTAATTTTCAGGAACATTAAGCTAATATAATAAGTATTTAATTTTAAAACAGGAAATTAATGTTATTTTTATATAAAATATCTTATTTAAATCTTAATAATTCAGTGATCCTAAAAAGATATTGTTTTCTAATTAACAATTATAACTAATTAAAAATTTTAATTTACAATGCAGAACTTTAAAAACTTAAAAACTAAAATTCCTTAGAAAGGATGTTTGATTAAAACAACTAAATAGGTTAATAAAACATTTTCTATAATTTAATCATTTTAAAAAATCATTTTGATCATTTATACAATAGTAAAATTTATTAAATAGGCCAAAAATGATCACTTTATCTAAATTGATGTTGAACTCCTAGTCTGTTTTGTATAATATACACATGTACTCTATCTCCATACATGAATTCAACCATATATCCTTTCATCCATCACATGCAAATGTTAAATAATTTTATATTCAAATACACCTATAATTCACTAAATATGATAAAAAGAATCATTTATTGTCTTAATATGCAATGTAGTGCATGTTCCTATTTGCTTCAATTTAATTCTTATAGTGATTTTTCAGTACTTAGATGAGTGTGAGAATTTTTGAAACACTAACACAGTACATATTTCAATGTTAACAATTCTATTTTTATATGTTATCAATTCATTGTCATTTTTAAGAAACATCTATCACATAATTATGAGAAGCAGGAATGAATATGTACACAGTAATTGATAATGATAAATCTAAACTATTGGATTTTGAGCTACATTTAATCTAATCTTTAAGTAATTGTTATAAAATTTGACCTAAAAAAAAGAGGCTAGGTCACTATCTTTAGTTAAATAATTTAATCATTATTAATCTTAATAAAATTCAAAATTAATTGAAGTGTTTTAGAGAAAAGAGTAAATTTGGAATGGAATACAAATCTACAAGTTCTGTTAACTATGTATTATCAGTTACATTACCCATACTTTCATTCAATCCTGCTTACAAGCATATATTAATTAAAAATATTATTATATATATTCTGTTATTATATTACAACTAATTGATAACATTGGTACTTATTGGTTAAATCTCTGCATGTAGCATTGTGTTCTTTTGCATCAGTTAAAAAACCATACCAATCTTAAAATTTACAATCCAAATTTATTTGAATTAAACAAGAATAATTTTGCTAAAAGAGTACACTTAATAATAACAATAATGACAAAAATTCATTTCTATTAATTTTTATTATTTTTTGTTATTAAAAAGCACACTATTCAAAAATTCACAATCAAATTTTATTTGAAAATAACAACAAATTTACTTAAATCTTACAAGTATTTTTTTGTTAATTTAGTTATATTAAAGTATACTATTAAAAACATAAAAGGGGAAATTAATTTCAAAATTTAACCAAAACAATCATTCTAAAAACTTACAATTAAGTACTTTTTGTTAATTTTGTTACATTAGCTTACACTTCTCACTCTTTTCCAGCAGATAGTGAGAAAACTAATGTTTTTGGTTAAGCTATTCAAGATAATGTTTGATAAATCAAAATTTAAAACATTTACATAAATTATTAAGATTTATAAGCAGGGGAATAATAGAGAATGTATTAATAGTAAAGACAGGCTAAATCTGCTACAGGATTGGCTGGCTTTTCTCAACTTAAATAATCTGAAGGGATGAGTAGACTTTAATAATTTAATTTATTACTTTGTATTTTATATTTGGTGCAATCCTGTAGAACCTCATTTAAATTTGGGCATGTTTCCAAGCTAAGTAAACTTTTATTGGTTTTTAACTGATTCAAATTTTCAATCTGGAAATTGAACTAAACTTTTATGTTGTTTTACATGAAGAGGACAACTATAACTGCAAAAAACATTAGTTTTCTCTGGATATTATAGCCTGATGTTTTATGGCAGTTGGAGTTATTAGTTTTCTTTTAGAAACTACCTGCTAGAATAGAGTGAGAAGCATAAGTTAACATATTAGGGGAAGATCGGGTAGTATTGGACAAGCGTTGTTTCTAACATTTGCTCAAGTGGCAGAACATATGAAGACACCAGCATGCTGGGTGTATAAAGAAAGTTCAGATTCCATCATATTTAGTCAAGTAGCTGTGTTGTTGACACATGGCAGAAAGTTTGGATTTTTAATAGTGATTTGAGTGAACAAAGATAACTTCTGGTTGTCATAGCTTGCCTGAAAATGAGAATAAGTTGGTTTTTTTTTGTTTATTGTTGAAAACAACATTTATTGTTCTTTAACTTGTAGGTCGGAAATCTCCTTAAGCTTACTAATACATATATGGTAACCGATGTTCTGTTCCATGATGTTTCGGGTTGTATCGGAAACAGTTTAAGGTTGATAACAATTATTCTCATGGAATGTTTTTATTTTATTTTATTTTATTTTTACGAGGCAATATGGGTAAACTATGGCAGAAGAAAGGAAAGAAAGAAGAAAAAGAAAGAATCTATGCAGCTAAGAGAAAATTGCTGGGGGAAAATCATCTGAATAAAGAGAGACAAAGAAAGAAAACAGTATATAGGCCTAAACCAGTTCAAGAAAAGAGAGAAGACCAAGAGACTCACTGCATCATCTGTGGTGAAACCTTTGAAGAAGACTGGATTCAGTGAAGGATTTGTGAAGGTTGGGCTCACAAAAATTGTGCCAATCTTGAAGGAAACAATGTTTTATGAATGTGATGTTTGTATTACCAAAAAAAGTAAACACAGAATGCATTTATCATTAAAACAAATTGTTAAATTTTCAGACTAATAATTTTTTAATTTTTCTCATTTATACCAAAACTTAATCATGTATTAACTTAGTTTTATGATCTGTAATTGGAATATAATAAATATAATGAAATAAATATAAAAATTTTACAATCTCTCTTAACACAATATCAGTTATACAAATAAAACTAGTCAACAACTATATACAGTTTAATTTAACATAAATCTTACTGAATTTAAAAACGAGGAGAGAATAGCACAAAATTATTAATATAAACACTAAAATTGCATTCAGTGTTTACATTAATTATTTAAAAACCAACCGTTTGTTTCTAACACTTATTCACAAAATCAGTTGAAAACTTACCTTAACTGTTTGTCCACTAAGGAGATGTTTGTTTAAAAACACCAAAGAAATGGATATAACCCTTAAAAATACAATAATTTATAAATTCATAATAAAGAATCATCAGAAAATATAATTCGCAAAAATTACCAATATAAAGCCACTACAGAGGCAATGGTTAGATATTTAAACCACAACGATCTATCCATTGTTGTATACTTAGTAAGTTTCATATAAAAATTATTGCCATCTTAATTATATTCTCTAATCGATCCTAGGATTTATTAAATAGAGAACCTTAAAATGAATCGCCACGGTCCACGCCTACATTTCTATCACTGTTGAATCAGTAACGTCCACGTGTTAGCCATCAAAACAAATACACTGCCCCTGTTGAGGAAAACTCATAAAATAAAATAATAAAAGTAAAAATTAAAATAAAATAAGCATTTATTTTATAAAAATTTTGTCGTATTTTTACACAAAAATATTACTTAATAATTTAAAATAAATAAAATTAATGTATTATATGTATGGATAGCGATTAAAGTATTACAAATAACAGTAATGAATCTAAATATTTATTTTATTTTTTAAATAATTTAGCAGTTTTGTGGATTATTATTCTATTAATATGTAAGTTTTATCACTAGCATCGTTAACCAAAAATCCTTATCAAGAGCACAGCCTACAATAAGAACAGCCTAGTCATTTGCTCTAAAAACGTGTGTCGATGCCTGAGGCGGTTTGCACATTTTGTTCACTAGGAGCGCTGATGACCGGACTATTCAATCAAGTGATCAATACTAATACTATTGCAAAGATGTGCTTNAAATCTTAATTTAAAAAAAATCAATAATTTGCTATATCCTAAGTTTGAATTACTGTTTTGTTTTACGAATATATGATAGCATGTAGCTAGGATAACTTAATCAGTGTGTGTTGTTATGGTCCGTTGTGTGGCTCCATCTTGCGAGAGAAAATATTTTCGTTTGGACACAACACTACAATGGGATTTCCCCCATTTGACTAGGCTGTTCTTATTGTAGGCTGTGTCAAGAGTCAGGGCAGTGACTACCCGCCAAGTAAAAATGCCACTGACTACATACTGTATATAGGAATCAAAGTTTCCGATTTTCGGGGGTAGAGTTCTCCGTCCCCCAAACGTCTAAAGTAATTCCGAATATCTCGCTCGAAAGATAATTGTTTTCTTAGTTAGTGTGCAAAATTTCATGATTTTCTATTAAGTGGTTGCTGAAATATAAGCAATTGAAAAGTACAAAAATCGCCAAACAAGCTATATTTTCTTTGTTTTTTGCTTTTTTTCTTCTTTATCAGACACTCAGTGGCGTACCGTGGGTGTCAGCCGCCCAGGGCGGAGGAAAATTTCGCCCCCCCCTTATTTAGATATTTCAATTTAAAAGACCAAAATTCAGTTTTGTCACAGAACAAGCAATGAAAAATTCGGTGGTAGTGCAGGGACCTATTTAAAATAGTTCTATTGGATATTAGTGGTGTATATGAACGCAAATGAATCGTACAAGCCAAAAAAAAGGTCAAAAGGTTTCGCAGGATTTCCTCGGATGAAAAAATTACTATTTCACCCGGACGGCGAGCCGATTCCCGGAATGTCCGGACGATAGCACTATCGTAAGCGCGATGCAAGTATAGATTAGGATGTTTAAAATTTTTACAAGATATTATTATTATTTATTGTAAAGTTTTTCCGCCCCCTAAAAAGTGCAGCCCGGGGCTGGCCGCTCCTGCCGCCCCTACTACGGTGAGCCACTGCAGACACTGCAAACGCTCGTAGAGAAAAAGCTACTGCGTCTAGAAAACTTCAAATTTTAAACTTGAGCCTTTCTCGTTATCAGTGAAGTACTGGCGAAACTTCCGGGTCGATAGGTCAAAATTTACGGGGGTTTTCCATAGAGCTATATCAGTGCTAGGTCGGATGGCCGAGCGGTCAAGGTGGCAGCCTACCGCTCTGGTGGACTCGAGATCGCATCCGGACGGGTCAAGAAATCCCCAGGAATTTTTCGGGGGTGGTCCGTTCGGATATGTCAGGCCCCGTCCCTCATCACCGGGTCGCCCTATTGTAAGCCCATAATACGTGTGACTAAATATCCAGATGGCACAAATCGCTGATTGGTAGGCTGAATGACGTCAACCTACTGGAAATGTTGATCAATTACAAGGACTTTAAACTACGAGGATAGCCAGATCCCGTATATTTGTTAGCGTGACCTTGGATCTATGTGACGTCACAGCAAGCCCTCTACTTCAACATGACAGATCTTTCAAATAACAAAATACGATAAAATATTAAATCATTTCTTAATTAATTATTAAATTACTACTAAATGTAAACTACTGTAGAATTTTCGGATTTAATAAGTGTACTGTACGTCAATAAATTTACAAGTCTTTTGTCTAATATTTATTTAACAAATTAATGAGCTATATTTTTTATTATGTGATTATCTTACTTAACTTTTTAATTTTTTTTCGACAATCACCATTTTCAGAAGGCATTCTTTTCAATATTTTATAGTTTTCTTGTTTAAGATTTCTATAATTAATTCTTATTATAGTTCTTAATTTACAAAAATCTTTTATTAAAGTAAAAGGTAAAACTGTTTCCACTGACTAATTCTGTACAACTCCGGGGCCTTTTTTATACGATTCATCGTGATATATTTCGAAATATTTATTCCATTCTATAATTTTTGCTAGCCATTCATCAGTAGGTTTAATAAGCCCTCCATAAGATAAATGTTGCACCCATGACGGAATGCTATAGTTGTAATGATTTTTAATTTTGTTAGTGGAATTAATTAAGTTTGGGTATTTTTCTTTATATTTATAGGCAAAATATCCTGCTATATACTCGAGAGCATCGTAGGAAGTTTCTTCAGAGATTGTGTTAAAGTCTAGATTGCATGTAGAGTTTCCTGAAGATTTATTTGAAGAAAAAGTAGTTTTACATTCAGTATATTGGTCTGTATTTTCACTTGATACTTCTACATGTGCTTTCTCTAAAACTTTGGGTATAATATATTCCTCTTGTCTTCGATCTGTAGTATTTACTTTTGACTCTAAAATACCAGGATTCTTACCTAAAATAATCAATCTAATCCTATATATAGCATTTAATGGGCTTGGATGTTCATTAGGACCCCGGCTTCTATTTTAAAAAAAAAAGTTTTCCAGACAATCTTGATTTAAATTGTGAGTGCAGATGTATTTTATATCAAAAGTCGATTTCATATCTTGAAAAAGATCAATTAGCGATTTCATTGAGATTATCATTCCTTTCTGGAAAATTTGGAGGGCATTTTTTCCACTTGCTCTCATTGTTGAGATTATTTTTATCATTTTATTTAAATGTTCTTCTTGTAATTCCAAGTCTACACCATATCCATTTTTGCTTGGAACAGAACCTTTTGGTGCATAGCTATTAAAAATGTCGAACCACATATTTATATCTCTAATATACGTTTCATTGATAATAATAATTGATTCATAATAAACGTTTCATTGATATTCACATTCAATTCTTTCCATAAACTTATGTTACTGCAACTACAGTCACTGACGCAAGCTACTACATTATACGATAGTAAATAAAGTTCTGCTATTAATTTTAAAAGTATTTCTCTTGTCATTTTTTGATCAAACCCGATGTAAACAGGTTGCTTCCAATTTGAAAAAAGAAGGTTATTATTGCAACCATACACAGCACACCTAGTACTCAGCATTTTGTTCTTCACCTAACATAAAAATATAGCTTTAAATATTTAATGACTTATATTTAAATCATCTTACCTTATAAAAAACTTAGTCAAATAAAACAATTACAGAAATATTAAAATAAATCACTTCGTTAATCACAAAATTGGACGAATATTAAAAGCGAAAACTAAACACGTGCACACCCTGCTCTATGTACGCAGAACACCTAAGTTAGAATTCTGAGTGGCTTAGTGGGCGGAGCTAAGAATACATAAAAGAAGCTAGTGGTGGGAGGAGTCAAGCAGTAGTTAGAAACGAGTTCAACATCGCAGCATAACTAGACTTAGCAAGAATTCTGCGTTACTGAACACGGCCCAGGACTCGTGCTGACGTCACTAACTTGCCATTCCTGGCTAACATTGTAGAATAGGGATCTGGCTATCCATGTAGTATATAGTCCTTGGATCAATTAGCCTAAACTTTGTAAGAGTTTTGAGAGCGGGCAGATGTTATAATTATAGACATTTCATCTAAAACTCGATAAAAGGCACTTATATATAATTTCACTAGCTCTTGTGTGTATTGACATTAGTGTTAAAATTAAACTAAATTACGTGACATCAAAGATTTTAAGTAGTTTCTGCAGAGCCATATTAACTCATGGCTTTCAGTTATTTCGGGGTCCCTCCGGCACTTTGTCTTTCATTTCACTACAGCCGACAGCCTGACCCTGTCACATTACGTACTAGATCTCAGTACATAACCATATTTTTGGATAATTTGTAAAAGATTTGTATTAGTTTTATTTTCTTTTAAACTTCTCGAGATGCCATCTCCCAATTCCAGGGTCTGCATAATGGTTAAAACTGTTCTGAATTCTAGAAAAAATCATACAAATTTATCCACGCAAGATCGTAAATTCCACATTTTGCACTTGTAATCTCATGTATAATACTCGACACGTATGTATCGAAATTTGCTTCAGATTTTCTCAATAGTTTTTTCTATAGACAGCACTAAACACCTTACTATAATGTGTTGTACCACTATATTTGCGCGATATGTGTGTTATCTGTTTTTAAATAAAAATACTGTACTCTTAAAAGATGTTTCATTTAAGAGTAATTTTGTCAACACCACTTCTCTGTAACGAAGACTCAGGTTAAAAACGAGTTTTTAGATATTACTAGAAATTTGAAATCTAAGACGATTTATGGAAGAAACGATACACTTTTAAGAAATTCGTAGGAGGAAAACGTTCCAGACAGACCTGAAATAAATGTTTAAAAATTCGAGAAGATGATTTCTAAACATACAGTTTAGAGTTGTGAAACACCAGCAATAAACGTGCAGAATTATTAACAACAGTCGAAGGTCAACAATGGAGAGGTTTATCAGTGTCCTGCCCCCCAGACTGGACTTCCTCTACCGTTGTTCCGATCATTAAACCGGGTCACCCAGCGACGATATGCGCCTCTTATAGACCGATCTCTCTTACCTCTCACGTCGCAAAACTATTTGAACGGCTAATCCTCTATCACATTCATAAATGGACCTTTCATTCGGATATCCTCCACCAACACCACTTTGGCTTTCTCCCCTACCGAGGGGTAGATGAGGCCCTTATTACGTTACACCACC